ATCGGGCAAAGCACATGTGAAATTTCGATTCTCAACATAACATATCACGAAATGGCGTTGGAAAAGAAGGAATGTCCTGCCTTTGTTCGGGCGTCATGTGGTCAGACAAAGAAACACGGTTACTTTGTGCTATTCACAATTTTTACATCATAAATCAAATTCTAATATTTATTTAGATTTACGTTTTATATAATCTTTGAAGTATATAATTATTTTTTCTATTAATATTAGAAAAAATAATAGAAATTATATATAAAGCTTCAAAAATATTCGATTCCTTTAATTTATATCTCGGACTTCATCATGTGAAATTATATGTGTTTCATTTCAATATAATTATATCTGAAACATGAAATTTTGTAGTACACATTACGTTAAATTATGTTAAAGTACGTAAATTTAATTGTTTAATTGAAAGGTGTGTTTCGCGTTGACAAATTATTTAAAATTGTACGGTTTAACAATCCGTAATTTTTGATACATTTTTATGTGTTACATTAAGACGAATGTTACTGAATCGTCAGGCCCATTTTGTTGTTCAATAAATTATTTTGATACAAAGTCACAAAGTTTAACTTGAGTATCCTGTAGTTTGGTTCAACGTCAAAAACGTGAGACAGTTGTTTCTACAGCGCACCAATAAGGCCGAGGTCGACTCAATCGCGGCAGTTCTGCGCGATGTGATTGGTTATTGTGTGGCTACTCCATTACGTATATAAAGAACGCAGACGCCATCGAAATCAATCGACGCTCAGACTTTGTCAAGTCTACATCTACGCAGAGAGTTTTCGTTACAACTCAATCTCGACATGCCACCCAAAACCAGTGGTAAAGCGGTGAAGAAGGCGGGCAAGGCTCAGAAGAATATTAGCAAAACCGACAAGAAGAAGAAGCGCAAAAGGAAGGAGAGCTATGCTATCTACATTTACAAGGTGTTGAAACAAGTGCATCCCGATACCGGAATTTCCAGCAAAGCCATGAGCATCATGAACAGTTTCGTTAATGATGTGTTCGAGAGAATTGCCGCCGAGGCGTCAAGATTGGCGCATTATAACAAGAGATCGACGATCACGTCTCGTGAGATACAAACTGCAGTGAGGCTTCTTTTACCTGGAGAATTGGCTAAGCACGCAGTCAGTGAAGGAACTAAAGCAGTGACCAAGTACACTAGCTCCAAGTGAAGCAATTTAATACATATTGCATACGCATATCGGCCCTTTTCAGGGCCAACAAATCCTTAAAACATGGAAATCTCTTGTTTTGCTTTTTAATAATCTATATTCATATCTTCATCTTCAGTAATAAAACAAAAATATTAAAGCATAAATTATAGCAATTTTTATTTTTTGAATTTCATATTTTTGATATCGAAATTACTAAGTTCAAATACTTTAAAATAATCTGTGATGAATTCCATCGCTTACATAATTTATATTACACTGATTATTAACACATAGTAATTTAATCGATTGAATATTAAATAATATTTTAATGTTATTTAACTGAATACACTTCGTGTATTATTTCATTGTCTAAGTTTATTATATTATGTTTATTGTATTTAGACGTTATTTTAAAGCATTTTAATGTATATTAATTCGGTAGTGTGAGTGCCACTCACATTAGAATTTATAAAATATATATATAAATTCTTATTATTATTCTGTTATTAATTTTTGTGACATTTCTTAAATAATAATCAAGATAAGCAATAAGAATTCAGTTGCGAACAATTCAGAGCTATTTTGTTGTGTAAATATTTAGAAATGATCTTTCAAACAGATCAACATTTAATGCAATAACGATCAGGATGTATATTTCTGTCAATTTTTAAATTACTTTTTAAAATCAAGATTTATTGAAATTTTTTAGTTTTATTCAAAGTTCGGTTTTATAATATGATCAAATGCTAGATAAAGAGATATTCATATCTCTAAATAAAAAATTGTATTTATAATTTGTTGTAAAAGTATATTTACGAAACCTTAATTGCTACATAATCCTTGCTCTCGTTTAACAATTATTACTTTATCATTTTAGAATTTAAAACGAGGAATATAAATAAAACGACAAGATAGTTTTAAAATTTTCTTTGCAAATTTCTATTCTTAAAAGATAATAAAATTCGATGAAAAAATTATGCTAAACGTTTAGACGTTACAGATAGTTTAAATATCTATGTGCAATACGTGCAGAAATGAAGATCATAAAACGACTAGAGTAATATTAAAATGAAGCAATATTAAAAATGGAGTAATATTAAAAATAAATATTTTTAAAAAATTATTTGCAATATGGCACTATGTTTAAAAGAAAGTATTCTATTTAAAATATTAATAAATCAATTTTGTTGAACGTGAGAAAAATAATACAGAGAAACTATTTTCTAAATAGTTTTTAAAAGTATTCAAATATTTTTATAACTTCAAAAATATTCAAACATTTTATTTAAAATAGATTATATAATAATTGGTACATTTTTTATAGATAATATTCATGTTTATCTATTAAAATTTATTATAAATAGCTGCGTGCAATTACATTACTTTCTTGAGGTATATTGACTTGTTTAATATGCGAACAAATGAATAAACGAATCTGGTAATTGAATTGTAAAGTCCCCTTTTTGATTAAAGTACTGAAGTAAATACATTCTATCTTATTGTTTTCCATTATTCTCGAGTTCTATTTTATATTCATGGAAGTCGTTTCGTAGAAATGTTCCTTCAATATAGAAATTGCAAATGAATCAACTTACTGAATATATACTTATAAAAGTATCTGAAAATATATTCGAAAGTAAAATATAATGAAAAAAGATTCGCTTTGTTTTTAATTTATTTTAAATGTTTAATGAATATAAAAGATGAATGCAATACACATACTATAAAATTTGAAAAAATATACGAATGTCAAGTTAGCCTTCTTGAATAATACTTATCTTAATTTTAAATCTTAAGTTTCAAAAATTGCTACAATGAGAAATACAACGTTTGAAATTTTTGGTGGCCCTGAAAAGGGCCGATTGTATATAAATAAAAACTATGTTTAACCGCCGAAGCCGTATAAGGTTCTTCCTTGACGTTTCAGGGCGTAGACGACGTCCATGGCAGTCACAGTCTTTCTTTTTGCATGTTCGGTGTAGGTAACCGCGTCACGAATAACATTTTCTAAGAACACTTTCAGTACACCACGTGTTTCTTCATAAATCAATCCGGAAATACGTTTGACTCCGCCACGACGTGCCAAACGACGGATGGCCGGCTTGGTAATCCCCTGGATGTTATCACGGAGTACTTTACGATGTCTTTTTGCTCCTCCTTTTCCCAATCCTTTTCCTCCCTTACCGCGGCCAGTCATGATGATCTGTTTTTAATCGTCGTACGTACACCCTCAAAAGTGCCAAACGATTTTGGTGGCTCATCTTAAAATCCAGTCCATTTTATTCCCTGGCTACTCTAACGCGCCCCACCCTGATGGCATCCACCAATAGGAGCGTTCTCCGTTCTACCTTGGTGGCTCCCCCCACTCCTGAAGCAGTGACCAATCAAACGTGGCGCACTTTTCCGATACTGTATATAATACAGGAGCAGTGCGAGTAAACTCACAATCTGACTCACAATCTTGACGTAGAGTTCCGCTCTGTTAAATTCGATTCACAATTTTACGGTTACAATGGCACGTACCAAGCAGACCGCTCGCAAATCGACAGGAGGAAAAGCGCCTCGCAAACAGCTGGCCACAAAAGCTGCAAGAAAAAGTGCTCCGGCTACCGGTGGCGTGAAGAAACCCCATCGTTACAGGCCTGGCACTGTGGCCCTCCGTGAGATCCGTCGTTATCAGAAAAGTACAGAGTTATTAATCCGTAAATTGCCATTCCAAAGACTTGTTCGTGAGATTGCTCAGGACTTCAAGACGGATCTTCGCTTCCAGAGTTCTGCTGTAATGGCTCTTCAGGAAGCTAGCGAGGCATATCTTGTCGGTCTTTTCGAAGATACGAACTTGTGCGCTATTCATGCTAAGCGAGTTACCATCATGCCTAAAGATATCCAACTGGCACGTCGTATCCGTGGCGAGCGAGCTTAATTAGGCGCAATGAATTAAAAAAAATATTTAATCGGCCCTTTTCAGGGCCAACAATTTTTCAAACGGATATTTCTTGTTTGCATATATTTTATTTATATATATATTGCATATATATTATTTATTATTTAAATAGAATTATTTTGATACTTTTTTTCCAATATATTTATTAAAGAAATTAGTGTTTAAAAATATCTCTTTAAATTTCTCTATATTTAACATACTTTGAAGTTTTCGAATATTTATTACGTTTAATATTACGAGTACGAATATGACAACAAAAATAAAATTTTATTGACATAAAATTATTCTAATTTCAAGCAATATTTATATACAATTCATGGCTTGTAATTATGATACTAATAATTCAATTATTAATGAACGTAAAAATATTTTTAAAACAATTTATAAATCCGACAATGCATATGTCAAATATAAATTTAGTAGATCTGAAATTTAAAATGCTTCATATTTTTTCGTGAAATATATATACATACAATATTTCATAAACATTTAACTTTTCTGAATTGCAACTTAAACAGCTTCTAATTACATTTACGTTGCTTTAATATCTTTCAATGAAAATATATGATATTCTTAAATATTTTTAAACGGACTTATCAAAAAAATTAACTCAATGAAGACTCAATTAGTAATTATATTCAGCATTACAAGCCAAGGGAACTCGATACACTTTTTATCTTATCCTTATTCGTCTATCTTTTATGCTAGCTATTTTTTTATCCTTAATGTATCAATCTCGACGTGCATATTTTGTCATTATTTCTATCTTATTTACAATACACCTCTTAACCTCTATTTATCTGTCCCCTACCTTTTTTTATTAAAGATGTTCTTTAAAAATTGTGTGTATATATTAGGTGTGGGAAAAAGTTCGTGGCGTTTTTCCCATTAGATGGGAAAACTAAAATTAAAAAAATTAAAAAAACGCCACTAACTTTTTTCCAAATATATATATATATATATATATTTTTTTTTTTCTTTATTTCTATCGACTTATAATTTATTTGTACTTTATATCTTGTTAAATTCCTATCCCTTTCGTTGTTTATTATCAATATAATCTTCAATTTTCATTTATTTTTTCTTCAATGCCCTTCTCAATACTGCTTCAATTTCCTTGTACTTTTAATCCTTCGATTCGTCGCCATCCAAATACATCACCACGATTCTCCTAATATAAATCTGTGAAATACTTCCTTTCTCCTCTGCTAATATTATTTTTTTGTACTTTGAATATTTTCTTCTTTTTCCTAATTCAGTTTCTGTTTCATCATTTCTTGTGCCCTTTTTTTTATTCTTTAAAATTAGTTTCCTCTGCTTATAATCTTGTCTTATATTCCTACTTTATTCACATTATTATGCATGTCTACTTCTTATGTCGCACAAACTCTTTAACATACATATCTTATCCTATCTTAACCTATTACATCTCGATTACCTCTACTCTCTTTTTACTTTCCTTTCTCTTAAATATTACTTTCTTATCTTTTTCTTCTTTTTGATTTATTAGCCTCGCAATTCAGCCAAATGGCTGAATTGGACTGCGATGGTCTTCAATGGACTGGGAAAAATGGAAAGATTCTGATTAGTTGATTCGCTTATGCACTATGCATTATGTGTTATATAAGAGTCTGTGTTATGGCCATAAGAATTAGGAAATGCAAATGCATAGTCAAAGCCGCGCAACGCTTTTCAAAAAAATAATCGAAGTGATGCAATGCCCGAAGCGAGACATCTGACCTGTTCGAGTGGTCTCATGAAACTTTTATATTTAGATATCTTACTCGTGCATTCCTACCTTTTTCGTGACCAAATTTTACATCTTTCTTCTTTTAATTTATTTGGCCTACATCGATGCTTTTTCACATCTTTATTCGGATAGAAAAATTTGAACATAATTAAACAAAAAGTTACATGATTGATCCCAAGGTAGCGATCATATAATAACTTTCTCTGTAGAGCGGAAAAATAAACGTTTCTTGTATACATACATAGGTACATAAAAATGTTCACTTTTCACGTTTCCATTGTAAAAAAAAGTTACACGATCGTTATCCGGAACACAATTTCTAGTAATTTACTAAATGCAAGCAATCGAGCGAAAAAACATACATCGTGTGTGTGCTGCTGACTTTTGTAAGATTTTTTTCTTAGGCTTTTTTTCGGAATCTTTTATTTATCTTATGTTTTTGTATTGGTTTACGTTATATTTATCGATTTGAATATGAAACGTTACCTAAAAGTTTTCTAAATATTGATTTGCCTATTATAATTTATAAACATTGATGAGATTTAAATAAAATTATAGAAAATACTGAATACAGCACGAAACAATTTTATAAGGAAGATTACTTAATTCTATACAACAATAAGAAAAATGCAAACTGTAACAAATAAAACTATATTGAAAAGACATTAAAAATTGTATTGACATTAAAATATACATTTAAATTAAATTTAACGTATTAATCAAATTAATTTAAACGTATTAATATATAATTTCAGAAGTCTCTAATTATCATCACGCAATTATTACAATTATCGGTATAACAAATCATGTTTATAAATTTGAATTTTAATTTTTCGTTAACTCATCTTATCGAAGCGTAATATGATGAATTCTAATATAAACATATTTAATGCTATTTTCATAATTTCTCTGTGTCTATATTGTAATAAAAGGTTGTTTAAGTCGAATTTGATATAATTTTATCAGTATTATTTGTATTCGAAAATTAAACTTAAAATATTGAAAATATTCTGAACTATGTAAATTTGTCTTAGTAAATTATGTAAAGGGTCTTGAGTTCTTAAATTAGTGGCATTTAATAAATTCTTTATAAGCGTTCTATATATTTTTATCATAATCGAGTCTTTTAAGACCATTACATACAAAATTCAAATGGAATTTTGCATTATTTTATTATCATGTACATCCTGTATTGACGTGACACGTCTGCAAACATTAAATTATCAAAAAATTAATCTAATAAGCCGTTTGCAGTTTAATTGATTTATTAATTGATATATTAATTGATATATTAATTAACTCTTTACATTTTTTTAATTATAAAAATTAAAAAAGATATATGTATCTTTAAATTAAGATTAAAGTGATCTATATTAGTAGACACGAACATCAATCACATAAATTATTATCTTAATTAATCTAAATATTTTCTCTAAACCGTTATTTATACTTTATTCATTTGCATTTTATTTCAAATAATAGGAATAATAATAGAAATAAACGTGTTGAAAGTGTTTCAAATATCAACCGTCATATCAGCGTTCAGCCAATAGCAGCTTCGCTCGCACGCCATTGGTGAAACGTTACTGACACCATTGCCTATAAATACAGCTGGTTTTGAAGGTCTCCCTTAAAACGCGTTCTGCCGTCGTACGGTTCGCACGGAAGCTGTTTACGCTTGATTAGGACGTCAAGATGTCTGGACGTGGCAAAGGAGGCAAAATTAAAGGCAAGGCGAAGAGTCGCTCCAATCGAGCTGGATTACAATTTCCCGTGGGCCGTATCCATCGATTATTGCGAAAGGGAAATTATGCCGAACGCGTAGGCGCTGGAGCACCGGTGTATTTGGCTGCCGTGATGGAATACCTTGCTGCCGAAGTGTTGGAGTTGGCTGGCAACGCAGCTCGCGATAACAAAAAGACAAGAATCATTCCGAGACACCTGCAACTCGCCATCCGCAATGACGAGGAATTAAACAAGCTATTGTCCGGCGTAACCATCGCTCAAGGTGGTGTCTTGCCAAACATTCAAGCGGTGCTGTTGCCGAAGAAAACGGAAAAGAAAGCATAATCGTAAACTGATTATGTGAGACAACAACCTCTGGTTTGCAATCACAGCGAGTAACAAATGGTCCTTTTCAGGGCCCCAAAATATTCATACGATGATACGATCTCTTGTTCATGCTGCATGTACATTGTACAATTATCCGTATTTTTCATTTGTATAGTAGTTGATAAAAATAGAGATCAATCGAACACTACAAAAGAATATACAAAAGAACACTTAACAGAACAGACGTTTTATTTCTGACAATAGTTTGTAAATATGTTAATGATCATATTCCAACTCAAACCATTTGAAATATTTTATTATAACCTAAGAGAATATAAAAAGCAATTTATGTAATATAAGCTTATTTATTCAAAATATATAAATATCTTTAAATACATTTCCTTAATTTCCTCGAACTACTCTAGTGAACTACTCTAGTAAAAGTGTTCTAAATTATTCTAAATCTATCTTATGAGTTCCATCTCCAAATTTATGACTTACATTTTCATCCTGTATGTAATATCTAAATATTATTATACATTGAGTATTTTCCATTTGATGATACAAATCGACACAAATGTCGTTCTATCTTTGTCATTTTCTCTGAATGTCAAGGATAGAATGACGCTTGTCATCAAATGAAAAGTACCTATTGTTACTTACATCTTGTACAAAAACTAATGTTCTTAAATTTTATTTTCATTAATTTTATTCAATCTGTACATTCCTAGAACTATTCCAGTAAAAGTATTCTAAATATCCTTTAAACCCTTAATAGTTGATTCTTCTCAAAATTAATACTATTAGTTATATAATTATGATAAACATTTTATTTAATAATTATTTCTATTGTTATTTCTATTGTAGAATCAAATTAAGCTACAAAAATGTAGAAGATAATAAATATACTTTTCAAATTAGTATTTTACTGCACCTCCAAATTTATGACTTAAATTTTGTTATCTTTTGTACATAATATTTAAATATTATCTTATATCATTATTTACGTCTTGTGTAAAATTAGCGTCCCTAACTTTACAACTTTATTTCATCAGTTTTGATTTAATGTAAGTATAAAGCATACTTCATATTTTATATGAAATGCTAAATAAATGGAGGGAGTAATTTTAGATACATACATCACACACATATATATATATATATATATACACATGATT